ACTTTCTTCCGACAAGTCCACAAGGGCAAAAGCAGATGTGCAAATATTATGCTCAGGGTAGATGTTATTATGGAAACAACTGCAATTTTCCTCATGCAATGAGAGGGAATTACAATGAAAGGAGGGAAGAGAGGTGGCCTCATGAGCAAAGGAACTTGTGTCAACAACAAATTTTCTTATGGAATGAGAGAGAACTACAGTCAAAGGAGTGAAGAGAGGTGGTCTCTTGAGCAAAGGAGGTCCTAGGTGGGAATGCTCAAGTTATATTAGTGGAGAAACATAGTGATTGAACATGTTTTTGATATTGTTTTGTTATTTGTGACAAGTGAACAACTTTTTAATGAAGCTCACATGTACCCCACTAATTTTTATATAATCTCTTGGCATGTTTACTAATCCGAAATGGGAATCAAAATAAGGATGGAAAAGTAAGTGGGCCTCATACAACTTTTTACTAATTTCGATTATAGATTACTCCCGAATTTACTTCACATATAAGAATGGAAAAGTAAGTGGGCCTCATACAAAATTAGGAGTAAATTGGACTCTTAGGTGGGAGGTTTTAGTAATCAAACTAGTTTCAATTCTGATGCATGAGAATTTAGTAAACTTACAAGGAATCGATAATATCCTACCCCTATTCCGCATAGTTTAGTAAACAACTTTAATAGGAATCCGGATTTCAACTCCTCCTCAATTCAATTCCTCTTAACCCGATTACGGATTAGTAAACATGCCAAATGAATCTCTCAATCAGTTTAGTCAGTCTCAGCCTTAAATTTGGGAAATGAAACTTCTAGAGAGGCTGAAATAAGCAAATCAACATATGCAGAAACAGAAAAAAAGTCTATTTGCACACACTCAAATAGCTCCTTAAATTACCCCAACTTAAGCAAAAATGCTGCTACAATCCAATTTAATAAAATAAGTATGAAGTAGTAGTAGTTGATTGAATACTTAACAAATTTGAAAATAAAAATTAAAAACACTCTTAACGATATTATCCCACTATTATAAATTATTATAAGTTTATGGTTGTTTGATAACCATTTCAATTTTAGATTTTAGATTTTATTCTTTGTGCTAGAGTATAGAGGAAAATGAGAGTGAGAATAAGAGTGATGATGAGATTAAGAGGGAGGATGAGAGCTGCCCATGATTATAGGGTAAAAATGCAAAGAACTCGTAGCTCAAGTGATAAGAACATTTACTCGTGCGCCTCAAGTCCTAATATTGATTCTCCCCACCGTTCGTATTAAAAAAAAATATAAAAAATTGAAACAACTTGCCAGAAAATGACTTGCTCACAAAACAGTCAAGCAATGAGTAAATTAATGTCTAAATCAGTCAGCCTTGATAATTCTCTAATCTTTCTCGGGCCCCACATAAAGAAACAAAAGTGATCATTATTCCTAGAAACAGTCCAGTACGATTGTCTATTTCTCTGCAGTTCTCAGGACAGCAAAATTTTGGGTTCTCCAAGTCTCAAGTCATAGGTGTGTAGCTTACTATTTGGTTTAAGATCAGCTTATTTGATTACCATGTGAGCTTGAATTTACATATTTTTAGTGGATCAACATGCTTTCTTTCTGATGGTTTTGATTCAAAGCTTTTGAGGCATTTCTTAGTTGTTTTAGTGCTAATTGTGAAGTAAGTTTTTTGGATGGCAAAACACATAATTCAGTAGTTGGTGAATATTTGACAAACACAAATTGTTTGGGATTATAGAGGCCCCATAACTTTTCCCTTTATTTCCTTCTGAAATGTCCATTATAAAATTGCAGTGGATGTTCATCCAGTTCTGTAGATTCTAAGAAAAATCTATAGCCCTTTCCTTGTAGTTTCCGATGCTTATGTCGTATCATCTAGGATGGACTGTTCGAAACTCGAAAGCTATGATTGATCAATGTGTATGTTCCCAGGATAAATGGCCACCGAACCTGGCAATGTGAATGAGTTCCGAGAATTGGCTAGGCAAGTTCTTCCAAAAATGTACTATGATTTCTATACTGTGGGAGCTAAGGACTAGCACACGCTAAAGCAGAATGTTGATGCATTTCGCAGAATCATGTAATGTTTAAACCTGCTGAAGAATACCGTCAAATACAATATATTTGCTTGAGTGATTCCTATGTATTTCTTTCAGGTTGCGGCCTAGAGTTCTTGTAGATGTTAGCAAAATAGATATGTCAACTACTGTATTGGGTTACAAAATCTCAGCACCTATAATGATTGCTCCTACAGCTAGGCATCAGTTAGCCCACCCCGAAGGTCTAAATCATATTTGAAGAGTTCTCAGTTAAGATTTGCTTTCAGACACTGCTAGATTTAACCTGCTCTTTATATTTACCACAGGAGAGGTCGCCACTGCTAGAGCAGCAGCAGCATGCAACACCATAATGGTATAATTGTAACATGTATTGAGCTAATACATGTGTAGTTAGGTTTTTGAATTGATGTATTTTTCATTGTAGGTTTTATCCAACATGTTTACGTGCAATGTGGAGGACGTTGCTTCCAGCTGCAATGCTGTTCGGTTCTTTCAATTATATGTACTTATTCTCTCTTGACCTCATTTTAATTTCACTAGACAAGTTTTTCTTTACAGGAATATTCTTCTTGTTTACAGTTTTTTCAGTTTCTGTCATGCCTACTGGGGCTCAAGATATCAAATGGTACCTTTCCTGAACAGGTTTACAAGAGACGAGATATATATCAGCTCAGATAGTTCAGAGAGCTGAAAAAAGTGGATACAAGGCTATTGTCTTAACTGTTGATGCTCCCAGACTTGGTCGAAGAGAGGCAGACATAAAGAATAGGTTCATGTCTTCTCATTTTGCTTGTGTTCTGTTTCTCCATGCCATGGAAATTATTGGTTTTGAAGTGTGATATAAACTTGCTTTATACCATGAAAGAAACTTTTATGTGTTACATATCAAATGTTGTTTTGTTAATTAACACTCTCATGCGGTGGATTGAACTATATCTTATGCATCTCATTTGAAACATCACTGTGACAACTTCTGCAGAATGGTTGCACCTCAGTTGAAGAACTTTGAAGGCATTTTATCAACTGACCTAAACTCTGTGAGTGTAATTGTTTAGTTATGAATAGGTATTATGTATTATTTTCTCATAATATCATGTTCTATTTGTACTTTAAAATGTTTAACTTGTTAAGCCTAGAAAGTGAGATGCTGCGCATCACTGCCTCTGAGTAAATTAATCAGGTTATTTAGGTTTTCCATAATCCATTCTACTTATTATTCACCAACTGTTAGTGGAAATATGACACTTGTTTCCAAATTATCCACAATCCTGTTACAGATTCTTGAGAACGTGGTCGAGACGTGTATTGTTTATTTACTAATTTTTCTTTTCACTATTTGATGACTTTTTAACAAACTAATCCAAAGAGTAAATCTTGTGCATTGTGATTATTCACAACATGAATGTCTTTGTGCTGATTGAAATAAGTTTTGCTTGTCAGTTGTATGATCCAAGTGAAAGTACATGTTTATCTATACGGATGACACTTACTCTGCAGGATGAAGGATCGAAAGTGGAAGCTTTTGTCAAAGAGACGTTTGATGCTTCTTTGTGCTGGGAGGTATGAATCAGTTGAGTCTTCTCATTACAGAGTCATATGATCGATGTTCTATGCTACAGATCTTTTCACTCTGAGGCTAATTTTTTTTTTTTTTTCTTTTCTGTTTTTGGGATTACACTGTGAAGATGCATGATTTATACAGATTTTACTCGGTTGCAAGTTTGTAACTTTCTGCAGAGATTGAGGCTATAAGACATCCATTAAAGTGCCTAAGTTTTATACTTATTTTTGTGCCTGTGTGCTACCTGGTTTCTTTTCTTCTTAAATTTTTAGTTATTGCATCGCATATGCAGGAAATAGAGTGGTTGAAATCTATTACAAACTTGCCAATTCTGATCAAAGGAGTACTCACTCATGAAGTTGGTAAGATGAACTGATCAAGGCTCCAAATAATCGTATCTTTATCTTTATGTCTTGTAAGTATTAACTCATAAAGGGAAACATCAATTTGCGTAAAAAGGAAAAAGGTCTCGTAAATGTTAACTTCTCCCGGTATTCAAGGCATGATGATCAGTCAAAATATTCGACTCGGTGAAATACATTGGATTGACAGTTGAAGTCAAATTTGGCATTAGCCCTTCTGAATAGGTGTTCTTCTTTCTACCATTTCAGCAAGAAAGGCTGTGGAAGTAGGTGTTGCTGGGATTGTTGTCTCCAACCATGGAGGCCACCAACTAGATTATACTCCTACCACCATTTCTGTCCTGGAAGAGGTAGAACTCTATTTCTAATTCATGGTTTTCTGGTGTAACCTGTAAGCACAAACATGGCTTAACTTACGCATGGCTAGGCTTGTATAATCCCGAAATAGGATCTCAAGAAAAAAGGAGTCTTTAAAAGAAACTCTCCCATTGGAAAAGTTGTAAGAATGTTCAATCATATACATCTGTAATGTTCTCAGGAAGTTGATGCTGTTGGAGGAAAAGTTCCTGTTCTGCTTGATGGAGGAGCAAGGCGAGGAACAGATGTGTTCAAGGCATTAGCCTTGGGTGCACAAGCTGTCCTTGTAAGATATCTATATCTATACAAGCTGCCCTTCTGATATGAACCCTTAAACTGCTTGTATTGTTTTGGATTTTCTTATTGAAATACAGGCTAATGTTGCTGCAGGTTGGAAGGCCTGTAATCTATGGCCTTGCAGCAAACGGGGAACGCGGTGTGAGACGGATTACCGAAATGCTGAAAGATAAGTTTGAGCTCACTATGGCCCTCTGTGGTTGCCCTGTTGTTATGGATATTACCAGGAGCCATGTGAGAACAGAATGTGATAAACTCCACTCCATGCTTTAATTTGTTTTAGAAGCATCAAAATGAAATTATGCTTGGGAAACAGCTTCAATTAACAGCTATCGGAAATCAACTTGTTTTTTCTTCTCTCTC